ACTACTATCACCTTTATTGTCATATGACGATTTACAAAATAGAAAATGCTAAGTGTACATTAGGGGGTACAAAAGGGTGTCCATAATGGGCACCCGGCGCCCTCCTATTGCATGAAGTGCTGGCTCCACCTGCACTCCATTCAATAGGGTAGCGCCGAGTGTCCATTATGGACACCCTTATGTATCCCTTGATGTACTTGTAGCATAACTCTTTAATTAAAGGGTGCCTAAAAAGTTGTGCATCGTTGGCTACAAAGATGATATAAATGGTGAGATCTGTTCCCACTTTGAAATGAGAGGAGAGAATAAAGTTCACATCAACCGAAGTGTCGGCCCACTTTTCAATATTTACTAGGTCTGGTAAAATGCATATACAAAATTGGTTGACAAAATAAAATCTACATCAATCATTTTTAAAAATAGATTTTCAAATGATTTGAAATCAACGGTCTAAATTTTACCAATACACTTTATAACTCAATTTTGTACAAATAGCTTCATTGTGTTCAAAATTATTAGTGAACTGGAACTCATCGTTATGTAGACAACAAATATCTTCCATAACAATGGTGACTACAAATGAAAATGCAGTGACAAACAAAGCTTTGTGGAAACACTACAATCAAACGATCGAATTTCTTAACAACAGCAGAAATTTGAACCTACAATTTATAAAATACATAAATAATAACTGAATTTTTTGCAAGAAAAAATATATATTTCTACATCTAATTTGTACACTAACAATTCAGATGATTCCCAGTAATGCACCCCAAAACAGAAAAGAATATGGACAGAATTGACAAAAGAATAATGAAAAATAAACAACTGCAACAATTTAATATGATCCACAAATGAAGCTCCAGTAAATGAAAAACAAAGTGAAGCAACTTGTCAAGTCTTCCTCCAAGCAACATTGAAAATGCTAGTTACCCATTGCACATCAACTTCAGTCAGCTTTGCAACTAGGACAGCAATCAAATGAAACAATCAACATTGTATCATTGTATTGGCCTTTCTGTAATCTCTGCACTACCTGATAATATTTGATGGAGCGACCTGTTCTGATTAAACTACTAGTCATCATCAGAACTAGAACTATCCATTCGCCTATCTGTAATAGCTGGAAACAACCGTTGACGAGGATCAATGGGAGGATTCTTTCGGGCAGCAGTAGAAGTTGTTGCCAACTCTTCTTTCCGAGGTGTCCTATTTGGTTTTATCGGTGCATTTTTCACTTCTCTACATACCTTATCTAAAATTATCAGAAAATCCCGAACAATAACAAATAATCGTAACCCCTCTTCCTTCCCGGCATTTCCATGGAAGTAATCCGCTGTGCTCTTCACTACAGCCATTATTCTTCTCTCTTCCTCAAGTAACCACGCAACATCAACCTCAGCATTCTGCACAAAACTTTTCAAAGTCCGGCGGAACCCATTTTCTTCTGCTGTATTATTCATTTCAGAATTTAGAAAACCCCGGGCTTTTGCGATTGACTGACCAAGCTTGGCAACCATTCCTGCTAAGCCGTCAGCATCTAATATAGCAGCTCTCCTTGCATTTTCAAGCTCACCACCCAGACCTGAGACAATCTGCAGGCCAATGCTACTATAGTGCTCGTCTGAGTCATGGTAAGAATCCTCAGGTAGATCATCAGATTTGATGCTGGATGTAATCTGGCTCTGTTTGGCTGCCCGGGCAGCTCGTACACCTTCTGAACGGATTATCTCCTGAACAACAAAGTGCAAGAGTGTCGTTTTTCCATCTGTTCCCTTTACATCTGATAATTTTAGAAGCGTGTCAAGTTTAAATGCTTGTGCGCCACCACGGAATGTTCCATCATTCATTCGATTTCCAGTTTTAAGAACAGCCTCAAGCAGTTTGAGGAACAGCCTGCTTTTCCGGAGTTCTGTGCAAGCAGCCTGCAATATTTTGAGATGGAGTAAATGTATTATTATAGAAATTGTCGATTAATGGAATTAAAGATCAAGGCAAATCTTGGATCCTTGTCATATTTTTAGTTCTTTGCTCGTGCATCATTTGTTATCTTCCTTTATTTCTTTTTCTTTGGAGGGGGCACAAACCTATTCCCCATTGCATTTCAAGGACTGACCGTACAGCATGAATAAAGAGATTAAAATTCATTTAGATAAGCATGTTTATATAGGGTGTGTTTGATCCACATTATTTTGGAAGAATGTATTTTGAAATAGCAGATTGATGGAGAATGTGTGGTTGAAAAAGAAGGAAAAATTATTGATGTAATGAAAGTACTATTTTATTAAAGAATGTGTCGTTGAAAATGAGTAGAAGAATAAGAATTAAAATTATAATGCGGCTCATCCAGGGGCATAAGAGAATTATTATAGACAAGAACTAGCTCTTGAACAACCTGAATTTCACTTCAAGTTAGGGGTGTTAAAAAGGCAGGGCTGGCCCTTTAACATTAGGCCTGGCACTGCCGCGCTACTATAGCAACTCCTACAGTGTTCAGCACTCTTTTCAAAGTGACAAGCTGATTCATCAGCCCGGTTCATTTTCTAAATAATTTTTATTAAAAGATATAAGGTTTCTTTAGAATAAAAAAAAGGTTTCCAACTTTAAAATTTGACATTGAGCCAGCTGCATTGAATGCGTAATGCAGCATGCTAAGCGCATCTCCAATAGACTCTCTATTTTTAAAGAACATATTCTATCATTTTGAGAGCATCTATAAATTTAGAGAGTTAAAATTTTGAAGTACTCCAACAAGCTCTTTATATTTAACACTAAATTTTACTACTACTCCCAACAAATATTTATTATTTTTCTTTATATTTTATTTTAAATAGCTTTTTTTTAGATTATTTTATTATTTTCCTATATTGAAAATTGAAACACATTGAAGACATTTAATTATAGAGAGTGAGTTTGAATCTCCAAATTTGAAGAGTGAAACCCACTCTATAAATTAAAATGTTAATTTAAAGAGTCTCTTGAAGCATGATTTAAATGTTGACTCTTCAAAATAAGGAGAATCTCATGTTTAAAGAGTCTCTTGGAGATGCTCTAAATGCATGATTTAGCTCTTTTGTAGACCAACGGGGGGCATAGCCCACTGTATCTCTTACTGAAAACAACTACGGTCTAGCCGCGGGGCCTCGGAGGTGGTCTGGCACAGTTCGGGATCTTATTTTAAAGGTTTTGATACACCTACTTCAAGTGCTATTTTGAGCATAAAATGCATCAAGATGAAAGAGAGTAAATAAAAAGCATAGTCAGTTCCAAACACTGAACAAGTACTTGAGATTTTATAGAAAATGGAAGGTGCTGCAAGCGTTCTTGTACTAAACATGTACGAGAAATTAGTCTACTGACATGAACATTGTGGAATCTAACTTGAAGAATAAGCAAGAAAAATGAAGCCCCTGTTTGAGCCCCATTCTCCAAAAATTCATTTTTCCCCAAAACTCATTTTCAATCATCACATTCTCCATATAAAATAATTTTACACACAAATCTAAAATTTTTCCATACTTTTTTAACCTCTCCAGAAATCACTAGTCCAAAATATATTTCCCAAAAAATGGGCTCAAACGGAGCCGAATTTTCTCATGATTTACAACAGGTTATGGATGAGGTGTAGATTCATCATTTCAGTTGCTCTCACATTAGCATATAAAGAAGAAAGTTGAAAAAACAAAAGGGAAGGCAAAATGTGAATGGTAAAAACACACTGGATTTACAACAAAGTTTTTCACCTTTCTATGGATTTTTTTAAAAACTCTTAATACATAAAATGAAAATTAAACATTGCAAACTTTTAAGAGACGGCACAATATGCTGTCCATCCACGGAGAGATTTGCATCAGAAAATTTAGTTTCCCACAATCACTACATTTCAAATTTTCTCAAATGATTTTGCAGAATTAATGAATATGGACACTTCCTAATAATTATAAGCTGATAAATAGATGCAATTAACAGGCAAGAATGGCGCACCTCTAAAATTGCAAAAGACTCTTTTACCATAGCTGTATCCTCCTGTAAAGTGAACATAAATAGCAAGGATTCTAGCCTCTTAAAGGCGAATGGAATGTCCACCAAGACTTTGAGGAAACGATCCGCGGGACCAAGTTGAGAAAGCTCGCCACTATAGAGTCTCAGCTTCAGCTCTTCGTCGGATGTCGGAGCCATCTTCAATAAATTCTGCATAAGTTCTGTGGGAAGCTCGTTGCCTGATTTCATTTAATAGGTTACTCACTTTTCTTGACATATAAAATCGACCATAGAGAATAGAAAATTCAGATTTTCAAGCAACAGAGTCAGAATAATAAACTAAAACGGCCATCAAACTACTGATGGCTAGTTGTCAGAGAAATAAGCAAACTGGTTAATCTTGCATTTAGATTGTGCAAGCATTTTTGAGCAAAGTAATCCTCTCTTCCTCTGAAAATAGATTGACAATCAATACTGCATTAATGGTTTTAGCATCTTTCACTGAGGTTCATTTATAATAGTCATCATTGAAGTATACCTAAAATTCTATTATTACCCATCCATGATGAAAAGGCATAAAACAATAAGAATCAAGCATGCCCTAAGATGCTTCAGGCTTAATGAACACAAGCAAAAAGATTATAAATCTTTAGACTTGAAGTCCAAATATTATTACAAAATGAAAACAATAAGAACATCACGTGGATACAGAGTAATAATCACATACTACTTTACCTAATCCAACAAAGTAGCCACAGAAGGGAAAGAAAAAAAAAACAAGAGGAAAAAGAATCACAGATCTCGACTTAGAAAAGTTCATTATTTTGAATTACTAAAAAAAAAAAAGATATCTAGATATAAGCAATATAAAAGATATCAAGGGGTAGTTCTAAATCAAATTTTGTATTTTTAATAGGTCAAGTTACTCCCAGGATGATGAAGGCACATTGTTGAATGGATGGAAGAAGAATTGGATCAAAATGGGGAAAAAGGAATAATACATAGAGAACATCCGAATTCCGGTTTAGGCCAATAATACCATATTCTGGGAAGAGGACTATGATATGAGTAAAACTCATTGCTATGCCACGTACGATGCATTTCAGCCATCTGAGTTTGTTTAGGACTCGGAAAACTATTTTTTAAACCACACTTTCTCCAAAAGATATCACTTTTCACAAAATCTATTATAAAAAAATCTACATCAAACCGACCCTATATGAAATTCCACTTTTTATCCGATTCCTTCCTCATAACTTGTTTTCAAGTATGCTTACAGATAATTAAGTTCTCTTCAGGTAGTATTATCTCAGAGAATTTTTAAAATCAACAAAATATTGTCACCTTCTTGAAGTGCATCACACACTTCTTCTGTAGTCACGTTTAATGCTTTGAGAAGAATTGACAGATTCTGTGACTTTTTGGGGTCAATTATCTGGATATGTTGGGTTGACGGATCTTGGGATGAAGAATCTTTCTTGAACACATTCTTATTTTTCTCAGCAGGGGCATAGCCAAATAGACTCTCTATCATTTCTTCGTTGAACCTGTTCATTGAAGTAATTACTTAATCAATTAATTAAAAAACAATATTGAGAGGGAAAATACTTACTGGAAGGACCCTGATTTTATTTGATTCCAAACCATTGATTGATCAGGATTGGCCAAAACCTTATCCCAGAAGAAAGGCTTCAGCTTAGTTTTAGAACCAGTAGCCTCTTGTTTGTCAGTTGAAGTAGTTGTTGATGGCTGAATCTGTCCAGGTGGTGAAGGTCGAGGTGGTTTTGAGCCTATGGAAGGAGGCCTAGGTGGAGGCCCACCTCTAGGTGGAAGAGGTGGTGGACGAGGACCAGTATTGCTGCCAGAGGGTATAGGAGGTGGAGGAGGTGGTCCAGGAGGGTGAGGGCGTGGTCCACCAAATGGATTTAGAGGAGACGGTGGTACAGGGGATGGGGCTGCAGGAGCGCTTGTATTGCCTGGACCTGGAGGTGGCTTAGGAGGATCTGTCCTTCCAGGTGGTGGCTTCAATGGAGGCAGTCCTGGGGTATCAAACACTCCAGGAGACATACCTGATGAATACTTGACGGGGTTATCAGCAGCTCCAGCAATTGTCACAACTGGAAGCTCAATTTTTGAATCACTTAGAGAATGTGACTCCACATAGAAACTGTGACCACTTTTGTTGTGGTTTGACTTGTTAGTAGACAGATTACCAAGCTTTTCTCCATTTATTGAAGTTGCCAGACCAAATGACTGTGGCGAAGAGGCTGAGAGATCATAATTCAGAAGAAAATTCAGAACGAAAGATGCAGATAATCTCTTAAGAAGAAATATTAGGAATTGCAAATTTACCAATTGAATAGTCACTTAAGCTTAAGCTGAGAAGAGGCCTTTCATCGTTTCTCCCCTGTGCAGAACCAGCCCCACAGAACCTACGATAGAATAAGAAGAGGAGTACAGAAAGGGCAAGTGTCACCCCAGCAGTTACAACAACTGCAATGACAATGGTTTTCTTGTTGCTCTTTTTCTTGTCTGATTGTACACCCGAAGCAGAATTTGGATCAACAGTAGATTGCTTACCGGCTGTAGGAGGCAGGTTTGACACGATCTCAGGAGGAAAAAATGGACGTAATGGAGGTCTATCAGGACGTTGAACATCAGGAGCTATTGGAATTGAAGGTGCTGGATTAGGGGATGAAGCAGGTGCTTCTCCGAATTTCTGAATTAATTCACGGCGTATAGATGGATCAGGCCTGGAAAAGAAGAACCCCAAATACCTTGTGTACCAATTTTTGACACCTTTCTCTTCTCCAGATATAAGAAATGTAATTTTTTTCTCCATTAAACAATCCAGTAGGATTTGGCTAACTTGAGGTTGCAAGACACTGACAGTTTTATGGATATCTTCTTTGGTTGATGACTTGCTATTTAGAAGTTCCTTGCTGTAGCTCGACCATTCCTCTGTGAGATATAGTTCACGATCTAGAGCTTTTTGGGCATGCATCAACTCTGGTCTGCAGTGTATCCAAAACAATTCAGCCTGCAGCAAGAGAATTTCATCAGATTTTGGGTGTGCATTCTAGACATGTATGAATGGACATATATGGCATTCCAGACTTTGCTCAAGTTCGTTTCCTGAACTTTACTTTGGAAAAGCCAAGAGAACATGTGAATTCTATGTGAACATGAAACTTTTTTTCTTCCTTATATGAACATTTTGTTTTACAAATTGAATAAGTGCTTGCTTAATTACACTATCAGAAGATAATGTTCATCAGAAGGAAAATGTTTAAATGATGGCTTCAGAAACTCAAAATTATTTCTTTCATTAATTTAACAGAGTATAATTGATGAGACATCAATAACCCATCAACATCTAACCATAAAAGAGCATCGTCTAAACATGACTGAATGCAAAGACAGGTTAGATCAAGGTAATTAGAACAATATGTGAGAAGCCCTTGAAAGCATTTAAAAGACAGGAAGAATACATGTTTCATAAAGCTGGAGTCAAGGAAAACCTGTTTCTATATGTATCAAACCTCTCCTCTATACATTGAAAATTTTAACTTAAGTAGCACAGAAAGGTCATGCAACCCATTTATCAAAGGTCACTCCCACTTCCTATAGTATCATACGAGTTTGGTACTAAGAAGAGAAAAATCTAAATGAAAGATGGAAATAAACCACATATAAATTAATAAAGTAGCTCATCAATCAACTATGTTTACAGAAAACCAACTTAATAATAATCTTACGAGTTATGACAAAAGCTATTTTTGGAATGATAAGATTCCAATCTTCTTTTAAATGCAAAAGCATTTGACTGATAGATTTCACGGAAAACTATTGTTGTTTCTTTCACAGACCAACTCTCTGAACTACCATACCATTTCTTAGAAAAGAAAAAGAAAGGATAGTTAAAAGAAGACAGTGATGAAGAATGGACTAGAAAAGAATGGCTCGATTCAAAGCCATCAATTTTATCTTTCTTCAACAGAGTTACTGAAGTATTCAAACTTATTATAAGACTGGAGAAAACATTAAGACAAGGAAACTAAAAAAGTATTCTTCATCTTTTAAAGTATTATGAATATATTTGGGATAGGTCTTTTAGCCGCATAAACGTGAAGGAGTTTATAGATAAGACAATGGCAAAAAGAAAGGTCGCTACTTTCTAACTCCACCATAAAATCTAGAACAAGGCCTTAGTACGTGTATATGGCATTCCTTAGCACGCAAGACTAAAAGCTTACATATGCAACAATACAAATGTACATAATAAGGCTTTTTAGTGGTACAAAACGTGAAAACTCCACATAGATTGTCAACATATCATAGCACTAAATTTCTCAATCAAAATCAGCAGGCAATGTTTCCTGACGAATTCATTTTCAAGATCATGCTGCTATACAAGATCGACAATCATCTCCAGTAAAAACAGCATATATTTACATATACACACAAGCATTATGTATGTTTCTTTATTCATTTATTATTATTAATTTTTTTTTTGGGGGTGGGGGTGGGCGGGGGGGTGTCAAAGAGAGAATTGAATAGAAACGATAAGAAACAACTCAGTACCATCTCCTGATTTATCTCCCCGGAGTATATTAGATGCGCTAGCAAAGGTTCTACTTCCTCCCCCTTGCTCTCCATGGCCGCCGGTAAAAAAGTAAAAAACAGAAATTCCAAAAAAATGCAACAAAAAGCTTTCCGGATACCCATTTTGTCTTGAATCGTCATCATCATCCCAACAAACCCATGAAGTAAAATCGAAAACCAAGTAATCCCAAATGCCCAAATGCTAAAATAACCCGCCAAAGTTAGCAGCTTTCTTCAACAGCTCAATTCAATTTTCACCACGACCAACCTTCAAATAGCTCAACTATGGAGTTTTAACCAATAATCTTGACAACCCAACCGATGATTCAACCAATAACCATGAAATCTCTATTGAAAGCCCAACTAAGATACTTCAAACGCCCAAAAAAGATTACGCGTTATTAAACTCTTGTCAGTTGAATTGAAACTGAGGAATTCCTTAGCTCGTGGGGTTTTTTGATTTTTTTTGCGTAGGATCAGATCCAAGAAAAGAAGCTTTAGGAGATGTAAAAATAAAAATACAAAATGGGTCAGAGAGCGCGTAAGTTGACTAAGCTCAATTATCTTCGAGAAGTGAATGTATTTCTTTGGAAGACGCCATTTGAAAGCTGACAAACGTTTACTGGTTCATTACAGGGGTTTTTCAACTTTGTTGGTGCGTTTTCAATTTCATTAAATTACATTCACATCCCCCTGAGTATCCAATTATTACACTTATACCCGTTCTCCCTTCTAAAATTCATAAAAGTTTCCCCACCTTGTTGTATTTTTTGACGAAATATTGAAATAAATATACATTTCTTATTTTTACAATTTCATATTTATACTGAATTTACATTTTATTATGGATAATTAGCACAGAACATTTTCATCATTTGCACTCATTGCACAAATCGTTCATATTGTTTCAAATTTGACATTTTCTCCCTCATTTAAACATTTTTTTGTGGAATTGGTCGTCTTCGTCTCGTTCCGTCAATTCCTTCTGTCATCTTTCATTGCACAAATCATTTATATATCTTTTCAATTTTAGCATTTGGTTTCTCATATCAATATTTCTCTGCGCAAAAGGTATTTACCATTTATTTTCTCCATTAAATCATTTCTAAAATCACTAATTTATCCTTTCTTTAAAATGAAAAATAGGAATAAAATAAAGAATATAAAAATAAATAAGTGCAGCTAATGTTCCAAATTTTATAGAAAATAAAAACTAGTCTTATGTAAGACAATTTAAAGCATATATACTAATAAAAGAAAAACATTTCATCTTTAAGGTGAAAATGAACATTGTAATTCAAATTTCCGTTGGAAAAGGTAAAAATGAAAGGAAAAAAAATTATCTTCAAGCACGTGTTTGGTTTAGAATCTTTAGATAAAAATCATTTTTTTTTTGTAAAATTTGATAAAATTTCGTTGAATGTGTAATTGAAAAGTTATGAATTTCATAAAATATGAGATTAAAATTAATTGTTTATCTTAACTTAAATTTTAATTAAAATTTCAAATTAAACCAAACATGGACTTAATGTAAGGACATTTTTATAGTAGTAGCAGAATGTGATGCACAATGATTAGTTCTCAGTGTCTAGTCTTTGTTTTCTTTTGAACATGTCATTTAAGGGCGTGTTCGATTGAGATTAAAATCGTATTAAAATTAAAAAATTAGCCTTTATTATTGACTTTTATTAGACGAGTGAGACCCAATAACGACTATATTTTTAATTTTAATTAGATTTTAAGCTTAGCCAAACATGCTCTAAATTTTTTATGATATTGCAACTCTTTTTAAAAGATGTAGGTTAGAGCGCTTGTTACTTTTGTTCCAGATACCACAATGTCTCATCAACTCACTTCTTTTGTTACTCCTTCATTAGTGTCACATAGTTCAATTAATTGTGGGTCATACTTAGTTTTGCCTTTTATTTTGCTTTTGCATTATATTTCGTAATGCAATTTTTCCTTTAGGCTCAAAAAAACTCCATAGAGAAGTTGCATCGTAGTTATTTATTATTTTAATTTTTTTCTCAAATTCATTTTCAACAATATATTCATATAATAAAATATATTGTACGTAAATTCAAAATTCTTCTCCTACTTCTTAACCACACATTATCAAAAAAATCAATATTTCAAAATTTATTTTCCTCAAAAACTTTTTTAATTTTTGTCAAACAAGGACTTAGTTCAGTCAAATGAATCAAATATGTTATGATAAGATATTACCTTGTTACAAAATGGGTAAAACCAAAGAAATAAAAAATATATTTAAAATTTTGAAAGTACTTCAATTAGAACGTAGGGGTGTAATGGTCAATATACATTACAACGTTCCTCGTAATTCCGCCGAATCCCATTTCAAAAAAGATCGTTTCTCTCTTCACACGCTCTCTTTTTCTCTCTAGCCGGATTCCAATCCCTAACTTCAGCCAACGATTTTACTTACCAAATTACGATTTAAAAGTGGGATTATTTCAAGAATTAACAGAAAAAAATTGAAATTACCCTAATCCTTTTCTGAATTTTTAGGGTTAAACAAAAGCAATTGATTTCACTTTTAGTCCGGTTTGATAACCAAGATTTTCCTTGTAAGTTGGAAATTTTTTTCCATTTTCCATCTTTTGCACCGTTTGATAGCAAAAATTTTACCCGGAAAATGATTTCCACCCCCACCCCTCACGCGCCTATTTTCCCACTTTTCAAGGAATTGGTTTTCTTGTTGTTTTGGTGATTTTTGTATTTTCCAGCTTACTTTTTTTTTTTTTAATTTACAATTAGAAAAAATTCTATCAACAATGGTAAACTTTTTTTTCCCTTTAATGAACAATTTCCATGCAAAACAAAGTCAAACGAATGGTATTTGATATGATAATTTTTTTTTTTTTTTATAATTGAAACAAATTCTAGATCCAATGATAGAAAAATTATCACTTTAATGGACAATTTTCATAAAAACAAAGTCAAACGGACACCAAACTTTCAACATTTCCAAGTGAAAAATTATACCAATTAAATAAATTATTTACAATTCTCAGTAAAATAATTTTTAGACAATTCAATTCCTTGTAATTCATTTTCTTTCCACCCATTTTTCACATTTACAATCAAACGGACCCTTGTACGATGTTATTCTTTGGTTACTGCAATTCAAAGAAACAGCTCCAGACATACAAATTGCCATAGCTTTGATCGAAATCCAAGGCCCCACCTAATTTTTGAAAACCATCTCTTTTTCTCTCTAATCTCAGTCTCTCTTCATCTCTACATACGAATCTGTAGTACAAGATACTCGATCCATTCAAATGCCATCCAAGAACCAGAACAAACCTCCAGCTCATACGCCAGCTAGCCCGTCAAATGTGAGTACTTCTTTCACACTTCTAGAGCAGCACTGGAAAGACTGCAAGCTTCTCTTTCGGAAGAGCTCAAGAGAACAAAACAAGACAATTCAAGTTCGAACCAAAAGGTAAGTGGAGAAGATATGGTCATGAAAGCTACTTTCAGAGTGTACTTTAACGAAATTATTTATTGAGAACGGTGTTGCTCTAGGTTTGTGATTCTGTAGATACAATCGATTAATGATATGTATAAGAGGGTATAGGAGTACAACACTAGCCTACAACAATACAATAGTAAACTTCAATCAGATAGCCGAAAGATTGTAATTTGCACTCAATGAAGATAGTGTCGAGAATAGAGCCATTGCTTTGCACAAAACACTAACGATGGAGAAAATGTTTCTCCTAATTCTTGAAGTTTGGGATGCAACGAGGACTGATGTCATACTCAAAATTGAGATCCTGAAGGAAGCTGCAGCTTTGAGCGACGCAAGGGCAGTAGCAAAAGAATGTGGTGGACTTCCTTTGGCAATCAATGTTGTTGGGCATGTTTGATGGAAAATAAAATAATCGAGATATAGGAGGATGCACTGAATATTCGGCTTAGGTTCTAACCAGAGGAATTGAAGATAAAAGTTTACAATCTCTTGAAGTGGGCTATGATACGTCACAGATATTGGTTTGCTGAAGGTTTTGCTAGAGCAGCGCCTCAATTATGAGGAAATAGAAGTGTCGAAAGTATTCTTGCCATGCCAAGTCGACTCTAAAGATGCATAATGATGCTCGTGATGTTGTTTGGATTCTATCCACGTTCTAATGAAATGTTAGGCTGATCATAGTGATTGTTTATCAAAGTTGACGATCACACATCACATCGTTCCCAAGTTAGATAGTTGGCAAAAACCATATGTCGACAGTTGACTAAACGAATCAACAATTGAACCACAATACGACTCCGACATAATACAGGAGTTGACTGCCAACTTAGGCAACTGGCGGACGAAGCACATGATCCTGTGAAATATCGACAGCAGCAGGAGGCATGAACTGCCACATGGCGACTCCTGGATAGCTGATGACTGGCACAAACTTGTTCGCTGTAGCCTGACCTTGGGCAGCAAATGCAGCAGGCATGGCAGGAGTGGGTAGAAAGCCAGGTTGCACATTTGTTGTCTTTAGTTGTTGCTCTAGCTTTTCCTTCTCAGCCTTAAACCTTTGCTTCTCATCGCGGAGCTCATTCTTCTCGGCCTACACAAATTAATGGAACCCCAGATTGTGCACAAATAAGCGATCATCTTCCGGTCCATCTTAGCAAAGTCAAACAAAAAGAAACATAGTACTCGTTTTCTTGAGAGCATTGAACTCTTAGACCAGATTGAAATCACATTCCGTCCAAAAGATTAGTCGAGACACGCACACCGGAACATATAAATTACAGGTAACCATACCTTTAGCTCTTTAATCTTTTCCTGTAGATATCTGTATTTGAGTCCTTTAGCTTCTGGGCTTCACCTCGTAGTTGAGTCACAAAGCGAGCAGCATCGAGCAAAATAGAAGCCTTGTCTGTTTTGGGAGGTTTTCCAGGCTCCAAGAGAGCACTCAATTCCATAAACCTAAAAACGAATGATGCAATTACTAAAGCTGTGTGTGTGTGTGTGTATGAAAAAGAGAGGGTTGTCTGTGTGTGTTGTTTGTTTTGGGCAGGGGGCAGAGAGCAAGAACAGAGAACATGGTCACACTTGTCATTCATGTTATCCCTTCGTTGTTTCTCCCTTCTCGCTTTGGAACTTGACGGAGCACAAGATTCAGTTCTAGCTCTGTGAAGAACATAACAAGGTGAGATGAAACATTGTTTGCTTGAACGAAGAGTTTATTAACCGGGCATATTGCTTAAACAAAAATTAACCCCATATCCACGGGGCTAAATTTGGGGAATATCTGGTTCTAATGAATGCAATTCACCATCTTTACCAAAACTTTGGACCAATACAAAATATGTAGTAGTTCTTTACCGCTTCTTTGAGCCAGGTTCCTTCTGGACATCTGAATCCCCAAATGAGAAATCATTTTCAACGCTGTAAAAGATTAGATCCCAGAAAAGGAAAGGATAAGAAAAGTGATGAATTGACAAAATAATAAGTTAAATGAGAAAGAAATGAATGAAGAGGAGCGGTTATAAACACAATAAATATAAGACGTCTTTCAAACTTTTTGAAAAGAGGATTGCAACATATAAGATGCAAGTACTAAGGTTCTTGAAGATTACCTATTTTGGCAAATAAAAGAATCTCCACTTACATTGACTTCAAACACATATACCAGAACTCAATCACTCCAACATATTTTACAAAATATTCCATCCAGAAGCACTAAAATAATAGGTAAGAAAATTATCTCCAGACCTTTCCAATCAACATCACTGACCTTTTAGCAAACACCAAGAATATCCACAGTTGGGTTATATTTCAGCAAAGAGCTGGAAAAAAATGAACGAAAAAGTGTGAAAATGAAGATAATTCAAAGTTTAGCGACCAAAGTGTAAACATTCAATAGTTGATTCGGAGCACAAAACGGTGATTGAAGATGATATAGGATCAATTGGATGCAACTGGAAAAGTAGTAAAATATAGTAGAAGTATTTTCACAAATCAATTTCCAACCGAAAAAGTTATGCTCTGAATTTTTTGCCTCAACTTAAGACCTATTTTTTGGATAGAAAATGTTCGAATTAGAAATATTTTACTTCTAGAAGAATTGTAACTCTTTGAATTACCTTTCCAATGCATTTTGAACACCTCAATCGGATATCTGTAGAGAAAGTTATGGTCAAAATACTGAAAATTGCTCAGGGACGAATTCGAAACGAACTTGCGCTCGTGGGCAATTCAAGGCATGCGTGCGGTTAAGGCTATGCGTGAGCGCATGCTATTTTCGCAGATAAATCAACAGTTTCCTTTCGCGATTCAAACTCTTTTGGAACCCAAGTTGGACGCAGGTTTGACCTATTTGCTGGCTCTTATAAATAGAGAACGATTGCTACATATTGAAAAAAAAAAAAAAAAATCTCTCTTGCTTCTTCATATAAATTAGTATCATCAAATTCATCAAGAAAGAGAAGTCAATTACTATATTTTGAGAGATAAGATCAAACCCTAGCAAGGAATTGAAAGTCAAGTACATCAAGATTTTGAAGAATTCAACCTTGAACTTAAAAATCAACATTTTTAAAATTATTTCATGATCCGAGTGATATTTTTATATTCTTCTTCTTGTAATTTATATAATACTATGTTAAGCTAAATCCGTTTTTGTATTGGATGAAGATGAACCCTATTGTTTATTTAATTGTACAATTCTGAATCTTGGAGAAAGGCACGGACGTTGGAAACAAATCACGGCGCTGGCTCAAGCCTCACGGGCAATGTAATATACGGCACAAGGAAATTAAAAAAAGCATCTGACGCAATTCCTTTTTAAATCAGAATTTTAATTATATTTTAATTCTTTACACGTTTGGCTTAATTTTTGGATTCCCATAAATACAAAACTTGATCAAAATATTGGGAAGCCCTCTCTTGCCTCTTCATACACAATAATATCATCAAATTCATTAAGAACAAATGATCAATTACTATGTTTTGAGAGAAGAGATCAATCCTTATTAAGAAATTGAAGGTCAATTATCTCAAGATTTTGAAAAATTTGACATTGGATTTGAAGATTAACATCTTTTAAATTATTTCATGATCAGAGTGATATTTTTCTATTATTCTTCTTGCAATTTATCTATTAATATGCTATGCTAGATCCGTTTTTGTATTGGATGAAGATGAACCCTATTGTTTATTTGTTTTAATTTAAGACTAGTAGTTTAGTTTATTTCTTGCGTTTTTTGATTAATTTTGCATACCCATTGCATTATTTAATTGATTGGCCACTAATTAAATAATTAGTTGATTGTTGTAGTGTTAAGATATTTAAAATAAGTTTAGAACGCGGTAAAATTAACATGTGTGCAATAGATGTTAGGAATAACATTTATTACATGTGCAATCATATAAATAATCTAAATTTTAATACATTCTAATTATTCAAATTCGGGCTATAAATAGATTCGGGTCGTGCTTATGATAGATTTAATTTGTCTTGGAAAAAAATTATATAACATAAATTTATCGATTGTCAGAACGCATGAACGGAACTAGATTGCAAATCAAAAATTGAAATAGATAGAAATAGGCGAATTCGAGATTCAATACAATCATCCATAATTTTAATACAAAAACATTTTTTACATATTTCTTAGATTAATTTATAAATAATTAAAAAATAAAATTCTCTTTTGTTTAGATAATTCGAATTCCATATGAAACTAGTAAATTTGAGTTGAATTTATTCCATGTGGAAAAATACTCTTAACTCATCAATTCTATTACTTGTCAACGGTCTTGTATGCTTACAGTTTTTGCATGAACAAAACACATCTACCATTGCCACCTAGGCTGCCATTTTGAGTTTTATCAACTTATCAATTTGATACTTTCCAGCAAATGGGGCTTCGAAACATAACACTTGGAGTCCTCAATCTTTTCAAACATATGCATTGGACTACCTAATTAATTTTCTTATCAAAGAAAGTACGAAATCGATCATCTCAATTTTTCAATCGGAGTAAATAAACCCAATGTATAGTGTTATATATCATTATGATAATGAAACATCATTGATGTAGCAGTTTATATGGAATAATAAAATTAAACACTTCATTTTTTATGAGAAAGGGAAGGAGATAGAGAAATGAGAGATAATAGGTCACAAAATCACCGATATTTGATAAATGACATTACTCAAACCTAATAGGATTCAAACATACGATTAATTATTAACTACCTATTGCTCTACAACTAAAATATTGCAGAACAATACGAGATTAGATCTTATAGAATTCAATTTTTTAAATACGTTGTACAATATTTATAAGTCATAGATTCCTAGTCAATGGATCTAATCCTTTACGAGAAGTGAGAAATTCAGCCTATTTTGATCAATTCAAGATGAAAAATGAAAGTATTATAACATCTTCGATTCTTTCTTCTTTGTCTATCCCTACCAAAGAAAGTTAAGCTTATGGTGGAAAAAGAAGTGGAAAGTAGCAGTAACATGCACTAAAATCTTAGGTGAAATATGTGAAAATGATCCATGTTAGACCTTAATAATTCAAATGGCTGCCATGACAGTGACTAGAGTTTGACGCCTGGGAATAGCAATCTCGCAAGCATTAACACATGCTGCAAACCCCAGCGAACAAAGTGATTCACCAACTGAAGAAGGATCCGGACATCCGGTGATACGTTGACAAACATCAATGTCTTAGAATCTCCACCCAAGCAAGCTCAGGAAGGGGAAGAAATGAAAAACATGGATCCGATTAATCAAAGTGACAATAAATGGTTGAACTCATCCAGGAAGCATCTAATTCCAAGTTTAGAAAGTTCGGAAGTCTTTCATCAAAACCTGAATTCACCATAATTTTTTCATTATACTAAAAGAAGATTATCGTGTCCAGGTTACTCCGTCAAAAGGCATGGCGAAAGCTGAGGCCCTTTCTCACCTACGTAACCAGCACTAAAAATAAAGAAATAAAAACTTCAACTAAAAAATAAATAGTAACTCAGCCGTAGTTTAGTCTACCATCACTGTATCGATGACTCAGATTATTCATGCTCACAAGGCCAAAAAATTTTTCTCAACTGCCTAATGTGTTAGGCATGAATGAGAATGTAAAATCTTCCGCTAAGTGAACCATACGAAGCCTTAAATATACTTGCATTTTACATTTTAGAGTATCGGCTCACATAATTGGGAAAATGCTTCAATAAATCTTCTAAAAGGTAGAAATACTACTAAATAGTTCTGAAGAAATAAACCTCAACACGTTTTCACTCATTTGAAGTTAACAATTACCTGGAGAAGATAGGTAAGCCTTCAGTTACTAATGTTGGGAAATTTCACCAATTCCCTTTATTTCAATTAACCCGCAGGATCTTTTGTTGTTCAGAAGAATATTAGCAAACAAGAAAAATAAATAATATAACGCACAAATTAAACGGACCGTCAAAGCTTTTTCACTATATGAAAAATTGTTACAATCATATAGACCCTGTTTGGTCTGCATTATTTTTTTCATTCTCATTCTTCTACTCATTTTCAACAACACATTCTTCAATAAAATAATATTTTACATCACATCAATAAATTTTTCTTCTTTTTCAACCATATATTCTCCATCACATCAAAAGTAAAAATGCATTCTTACCTTCAAAATGTGCACCAAACAGGGGCATAAAATTTTTCACTCACCAAACCAATCCCAAAATATTACAAAGAAAACTACCTTCTGCCTTTTCCAGCCACAATGGTTGACAAAATATATATCTCCAATTTTCAGCCGGAAGCCAACTACTTTTCTTCTGTCAAAGCTGCTGCCAATTCTTTGTTTATATCTTCTATATATTAAAAGTGGCCATGTAACGGAATTTCTTGTTTTTAACGGAAAAACTAACGGAATTTGTTGTTTTAACGGA